GTATTATACACCTGTGAAACCATCAGCATAATCAAGATAATGAACAATCTATCACTCCAAAAAGTTTTCTCACAGCCTTTTGTAATCCCTCCCACCCCATATAATTGTTTTAGATTCACCCATGTCATTGCTATGAAAATGATGGAAGATTTGAATCAGATTACATAAAAAGACAAAAACTGGGACCTTTGGATGGAGGCAGCTTGGCCTGTTGAGTGACTCTGGCTTGGCCCCAGAGGCCAGCCCTCCTAGGAATACATGGCAGGCTCAGGCACTCTGGGAGGGTCAGTTATGTCTCAGTTAATATAATAGCCTATTTTCCACAGTTGACCAGTTTGGAGCACTGACCCTCCCCATGTCAAAGATCTGTGCTTAGTTTTTGACTCTTCTAAAACTTAACTACTAATGCCTAGAGTTGACCAGAAACCTTACTGAAAACAAACTGTTGTTTGGTCAATACAGATTTTGCATGTTATATAAATATTATAAACTGTATTCTTACAATTAGGTATGCTAGAGAAAATATTTATTTCAAATTGTCACAGACCTCCAAAAAAATGTCCAGTACATTTACTGAGAAAAATTCATGTATAAGTGGATTTATGCAGTTCAAACTCACATTGTTCAAAGGTCCACTGTATTTTCTTTCAGGTTCCACGGCTGAAGGCCCACTTTCAAACATTCTACTCTTTTTGCCTCCCAATGTCAGTTTGTACTAGCTTTCTTTCCTCTAAAATAACCCTTACTTTTAAACACCCCCAAACCTGATATTTAATTTTTCTCATTCTTAGCAAACTATCATAGATGAAAAGTTGTACCTTTTGGCCCTAAGGGTTACTACTCATGTCAGAAATTGAAAATGAAAACTAATAATAGAGCAAGATGGGTGCTACAGGAAAACCCCTTCTGTACTACAAACAGGTGTGTCTCCTCTGCCCATCCTGGAATTTCATATCAACCACAAATTTGTGCCCCTAGCCTGAGCCTTTTTGACATTACCTGTGTTCCTGAAAGGCCCCTGGAGAGCAGAGGCTGGGTAGAGCTAGTTTACACCACAGATAAGCCCCTGAGAAGAGCCATCTTCTTATAAACACAATTCCAAGCCCTTTCCAGGAATTGAGGGTTTCCTGATGCAGTCCTGAAAACTGACACTAGGAGGCAGTGTGTACCAAAGGAAACCTAGCTCCGCTGAAGCCACGTATAAACCAAATAAAAGGCACGTTCCTTTTAAATGACAAGAGCAAAGGATGTAGAGGCCACATTTTTGTCTCTCAAATCAGATTACAGCATTACAATATTTAAATATCTATTAAGAGTTTTGCCTGCCTATTGAATTCTCCAAGTAAATTAATTTGTGGTTGAATGTGATTTAAATATAACACTGGTGAGATCCACATATTCTGTAAGACATACTCATTTTAGTGCATTTACAACTTCAGCAGTATAACCTGACAATGTTTGGTTCCAAATTCAAACTTTTTATATTCTTGGAAATGACTGTTGTCTGTCTGTCTCTCCTTTTGACGAAGCAAAATTTTATTTGGAATAAGGCACTCAAATAATTCTTTAGACAGTTAAATTAGACATTGCTCAATTATTTGAGGATCTTACAGATTCCTTCTCTGAGTCATTAATCTATCTATCAGTGAAGGTTTCCAAATGTTTCCATTATATGCCTGACCCTGTGCTAAATGCTATGAAATGCAAAGATAAAACCAGGTATCAATTCTACCATGGAGAGACTCATTAAAATTCTGGAGGTGGGGAATGTATGGGTCGACAAACAAAAAAAGTGGTTACAGGAATGTGTGATCAGTGCAAAGATACAAAAGGAGATGCTCTAGACGATGACAAATAGGTGGGCACCCATCAAAGGGAAGAGGTTGGGGGTTGGGGAGAGCACAAGCAGACTCCCAACAGGTACTACTTGACATGAGCCCTAAGGAGAAGCCAGAATTAGCAGTGCAGGCAGCGGGCCCAGAACGCGCAGGCATGGAAGATGGAGAACACAACATTTTAGTCACTTTGTAAGCAGGGCTACACCTTTGAGTACCCAGGATTGTGGGTGTTGACTTGTGTCTTAGATAAACTACTCCAACAGCAGAATGGAGATCAGAATGGAGAATACATAGAAAATAGAACTGTAAGGAAGCTAGTAAGAGAGAAATAGAGGCCAAAAATGAGGAAGCTTGGAGAGAAATGGATGAATTCGACTGATGTTTAAAGACAGGAACAGAGCTGGGTGGTGCATAAAGCCAGATGACTGAGATGGTGGGTGCTGCAGGAGGAGCAGGTGTGGCTGGGGACACGGGGTGAGTATTGCTTTGATCTGAGTTTGAGAAGTTAGTGGGACACTCAGGTAGGAATGGGGTCCAGCAGGCAGTTGGATAGATGGTTCTGGAGCTGAGTAGAGAGATCAAAGCCAAAACACATGATTTGGGGAATGACTGAAATTATAGGAATAGTTGAAATTGCCAGAGGAAATGAGACCCAGAAAAGTGTAGTCACAAAAGCCAGGGGGTTTTCTTGAATAGGAAACATTTAAGTCAGTGTTCCCTGTATTTGATGTATTTAACACAACCCCAATAAAAAGGGCAACAAGATTTGCTCCAAAGAAAAGTTACTTCTGTCATGTTTATACAAGGCCTGCCATAACGTAAGTGCCTGGTAAATATTTCTTGACTATAGTGTAGGTACATTCATCAGTGGAATAATACACAACTTCAGTGAAGAATGGGGTATACCCATATGTGCTGATATAGAAATATTTCCAAGATATATTAAGTGAAGAAAACAAGGTGTACATACACATGTTGATGCTGTTATGTATATGTATGCTTACAGATGCATGTATGACTTTATATGTAATTACATACATTTTCCTGTAAGGATAATAGCTGACACACACAACACTTACTATGTTCCAGGCACACATTTTAACTCATTTAATCCTTTCTGTTAGGTGGGTACAACTGTTACGCCATTTATACAGAGTGAGAAATAGACACAGAGTGCTGAGTGGCTAGCCTAGGATCGTGGAAGTAGTTAGTGGCCAAGGTGAGAGTTGAAGGCAGGCAATCCTTGCTCTTCACCGTCCATGATACTGCCTCTCACACAGGAAAGTGTTCCCCAGCAGGGACAGGGTGGGAAACAGTGGAGAGAGAATCTTACTTTTATTTCATACTCTTGAGTTCAAAATATTGTTTTGCCCCATGCATTATTCCTTTAATAACAAGACTCTAATTTAAAATTGTTTTTGAGAATTTGGCTTTAGGTATTTGGTGAGAACACCCCTGGGGACCTGGACGAGGTTTCAGTGGAGAGCCGGTGGGGGTGGGGAGAGGAGTGGGTTGGGGAGGCGTCCCAACAGGCTTGTTGAAAGGAAAAACAAAGGATAAACTGGTTTGCTTTCCAAATAATTGAATTTCAGTCCTGAGAGGACTGGCAGCATTTAAAAGCACAGTGGCCAATTTCTGGCTTTGGCTTTTCCAGTGACTCTCGTTCTTTACTGAATTTCTCTCCCTTGGAAATAACACACACACACACACCACCACCACCACCACCACCACCACCACCCATAGATTCCTGTACACCTGGCTGCTCTAGGCTTTACTCTATTTCAATTTTTTGACTAGGTATTACATTCTATAACTGGCAAAGTTAAAATCAGCCGAAAAGGTGTGAGAAACCTCCTCCCTACGGCTCTGCCCCACCCTCTCCCCTGCCCCCGACAGCTCCCACTTTCGTTGCTTTGTCACCCGCACCCTCCGTGACCCCTGAGGCGAGTGCGTGTATGTATGCACAGATACATTTATTCTTTCTTACACAGCCAGTGTCACTTTGTTCCCTTCTAAATCTGCACATGGAAAGCGTCCTCAATTTTTTTTCTAACTGCTGCACAACTGTCCGTTGGGTCAGTTTAACTAGTGTGCTTTGAGTTCATTTGCTTGGTCTGACTTGGCTTCGCTGAGGAGTCTCCAGGTTTGCACGAGTGTTTCTTCTTTGCTCTATCTGGACTTCCCAGTCGTCAGCCTCCAGGAACCTGACTGCATGTCTGCCCAGACACCTCCTGATGAGGGATAGTAAAGGCTCCCCCTTCTGCTCTTTTTTTTT